TTCAAAATGCTGTACTCGTATCCAAGGATCACAGATGCTGCACAAACTATTCCAATTACTTTCAGAAACCATCCCTAAGGATCACTGGAGGCCAGGAGTTTGAGACCAGCCTGGGCAACATAGCGAGATCCTGTCTCTAAAACATGTTTTTTAAAAAAAAAAAACAAAAAAAAAACAACCCCAAGGGGAAGGCAGGAGGGGCCGACACTTCTGAGGTCAGACAACAGCCGCAGACGAATGTTTCCTAATGAATCTCTGCTTCCGAATTGTTCTCAGGACTTCTTTTGTTCTTGCCCACAAGTTTTCTCTTTAATTAAAAGGATAATTAATGTAGTCTCCTTTAAAAAAAAAAAAAAAGCTGAGCGTTTCTTCTCCGTATATGATACGTTCATGTAAAGGGTCAGATCTTTGGGGAGCTGCGCACCAGTCCGCTGCCCTTCCGGAGTCTGGCCGGCAGCTTCCCGTCCTCCCTGGCGGGACACGCGGCAGCGGCCGGGACGTGCAGGGCCTGGGTCATGGGTCCAACAGGTTTGTGTTCATGGGGTTTCCCCGCAGGTGCCAGAGAGCCTCTTGAGGACGAGAAGTCCTGTTAGCGTGATGGGACAGCTTGGAGCTGCCTCTCCTGACAGTCACGTTGGAGGTGACATCTGCCGGGGCGCTCGCTCCACGCACAACCCTTGCCCCGAGGCAACACTGTTACCGCCTCTTTCTTTCCTTGGCTAATTCTGCTTCCTCTGATGAGATACCTGGGCGTCCGCTTGTGATATTCTGGTTCCACTGCCCAGACGTCAACACGGGCCTCCCGCCAGGTCCCGGGAGCTCAGCCAGTGTTTGGAGAGCTGCCACCCTGGCGCTGCTGTTGCAAAGCGGGGAACCGCAACGGAGGTGCTGCACCTGCGTCGCGCGGCCCGTTGTGCACGGCCGGCACGTCGCAGCAAAGGCCTGGACGTGCCTCTGCCCACGGGCGCCCACGCGGTTTTGGCTGCGACCACGTCCAATCGTATACACCGCCTCGCTGATGCCAAGACACTTCCCATTTCCAAATCCAGTATCGGCCTCTGTCGAGCCACTTGGCAAAGCCTGCGGAAGATGCCTCTGGAGATGTGGGAGGAGCCTCTCCTCGCCGTCACGGACCAGAGCGTGACCACAGTACGAGGTGCGGCCCCACTTTCCCGGGTGTAAGGGGTGTCCACGCTCCCCTCCTGCTTAGAGTATTTTACCGGCAATCTGAGAACCAATTTTATTGACCAAAGATTGTCCCAGATCTCATAAACTTTAAAAAAAATTTGGCTTAGTTTCTGTATTTCTGAGAGTTTTAGGAATATTTACTTTATACAAGCACTCATCTCTAAACCAATCTGAACAGAACCTTTTAAAGGTATTTTATAAATTAATTTGGTAGTACCATCTGGAGACAGAAAAAATCACATACACTTAATATGAACACACGTATATACATAAACACACAGATCTTATAACTTTAATCTTGAAATGTTTATTCATGAGTCAGCAGAGCACAGTCTCACACACAGGTTTATCTCTACTTAGGTTTTTATCCAAACTGTGTTTCTGGCAAAATGGGATGAGCTAATATCACCCACTCAGATGGCTAAAGCTTTTTGCTAATATTCGTCGGAAAGACCGCTAAGATTTTTCATTTGCCCAGTTTCCAAATCCCTCCTTTTTTTCTTTCTGGTAACAGTCATCTCCCTGCAGTTTCTATTTCGAAACGATGGCAGATTTTAGAGGTGACAGGCTAGAAAATGTGTGTCTCGAAGGCAGAGAGAGGACGTTTTCTCCAGGAGTTTGGGCGTCCGCCTGCTCTCAGAGGCCGGTCTGGGCAGCAGTGCCTTCGTTTCCACACGTCGGCCTTGTCACGGCTCTTTCGGCCTCTTCCCTCCGGCTCCAGGCAGTCGCTTTGGGGGACCTGGAGTCCCCCGAGAGCAGGCCCAGAGGCCAACGCCCAAGGGGCTGCAGCGGGAAGGGGATTCTCTGGCAGGGGTGGGCGGTGGAGCAGTCAGGCTTTTAGGGGACTGACCAAGAGTCACGGGAGCTGGCTGGGGCCACGGTTGGCCAAGGGCGGGGGTGTCAGAAGCCGGTGGAAAGCAGAGGCCGGTAGCTCCAACAGGGAGTGGACGGTCGGGACGTATTGTCCGCAGGGGTTCAAGAACCAAGATGCTCCTGTGGGAGAAGCAGGATCCAACAGAGAGATGAGAGAGGCCTTAAAAAGTTATCTGTATGGCCTGACTATCAGCTTCCAACTAGGCCAACTTCTGACCATAGAGCTGTTTTTTAAAAAATCCTTTCAGGCCGGGCGTGGTGGCTCACACCTGTAATCCCAGCACTCTGGGAGGCCGAGGCGAGAGGATCGCTTGAGCTCAGGAGTTCAAGACCAGCCTGAGCAGAGGGAGACCCCGTCTCTACTAAAAATAGAAAAAATCAGCTGGGTGTGCTGGCGCGCACCTGTAGTCCCAGCTACTCGGGAGGCGGAGGCAGGAGGATCACCTGAGCCCAGGAGTCTGAGGCTGCAGTGAGCTGTGGTGACGCCACGGCACTCCACATTCCAGCCCAGAAGGCAGCGCAAGACCCTGTCTCAGAAACAAGCAAACAACCAAATATCCTGCTGTCAAATTTCAGCTGGAACAAACAGTGAATATCATTCCTGTCAGTACTGAACTCATTTGTTTTACACCAAAAGTACCTTTCAAGTGACTCAGAACCAAGACCAGTAAGCCTCTTATGACTTGGCCATGGACAAAAGAGACGTCCTGGAAAGAGGGTGCAGACAGGTGCAGCCCCGCCAAGAGGCGAACCGCCCCACGGCCCGAGGAGAGAAGAGCCGCCGCTGCCTCGGTGGTGCTGGGTCCGTTGCAGTACTCACCCAGCAACACGGCTGAGGCGAAAGCCGCTGTGGGCAGGAGGAGGATCCGCGGTGCACAGGGTGGCCTGAGTGCCGCCTCCTGGGCGAGGGGCCCCAGGCTGAGACCCCCATCTGGGCCAGGGCCTGGGTCTGAGCAGCGACTCTGCCCTGAAGGAGCCACCCCAGAGCAGGCTGGGCTGGAACCAACAGGGAGGGCCAGGGACGTGGGAGCTCAGGACACTGACAAGCTGTGCAGGGGCCACAGGAGTTCCCGGAAGAGGGAGGAGGGCATGGGGGTCCCCAGAGGTGGCACTGGGGTCCCCAGCACGTCTGGGCTACAGACCCCAGCTGAGGAAGCTGGTGCTGCCCTGCCTGAGACAGACACAAGGGGGCGTCCAAAGACTGTGAGCGGCGGCGCAGACGCGTCCACACCGCCAGGGTCCTGCGGCCTCCACCTCCCTCCCCCCCAGCCCCGCACCCCTCCCCGTTCAGCCTCCTGTCCCCACCCAGGGAGCCCCCCTGAGACTCAGCTGACCCCCTTCCCTGGGGCAGCCCCGCCAGCTCCCAGCCAAGTCTGTAAGGAAGACCTAGGGGAAAATCACGAACTGTGCGTAAACTTTTTATTGAACAGAGAAACAACGGCACCGTTGGCCCCCCACCTGCCCCCGCTCCAGTGCCCCCAGGCCCTGGGCCCCTGGGCACGTGAGCCTGTGTCCAGCGGGCCCTCGCGTCCCTGGCACGCAGGTGCGGAGGTCCTGTCTGAGCCACGCCTGCGGGCGGGAACATCCCGGCGCCTCCCGAGGCCCAGGAGCACCACACCTGGGCTGAGGAAAGGCCTCCTGGGGCTGCGCAGGGCGCCGGTGCCGCGGCCACGCCTGCTCCGTGGCCTGGCCGAGCCCATCCAGCCCCCACGCGTGGCAGCCCCGTTCAGACGCCAGCTCAAGGCCCCAGCTTCTTGGGCCCTCCCAGGACGGACAGGAGGTCAGGGGTGAGGCCGAGGCAGGGGCCTGGCCCTACTGGCTCAGACCCTGCTGCCCCCACCCACTGCAGGGCTCCAAGAACCTCCGACCCCACAGCTCCGTGCCTGAGCTTCTGCCAGGCCGGGGTGGGCCGTTCCCGCCACTCCCAACTGCTGTGCCGCCCTGCCCTGGTGCCCGAGCGGCCTCTTCCCTACCTGCCTGTGGGGCCTGGTGCGGGTGCACAGGGGCAGCTGTGCCGGTCTCTGCCAGCTCCTGGGGGGTTTACACCCGCGGGGCAGACTCTGCCGCCCGTGCACTTTCCCCAGAGAGCCGGTTGTTATGCGTTGCCAGCACACCACTGCATCCACACCCCCCAACCCTGCCCATCCAGGAGACTGCCCTGGCCACCTGCCATCCTGATGCCCTGGAAACAGCCCCAGGGACAGCTCGCAGACCCCTGTGCCTGACCGAACCTCTCCCACTTCAGTCCCAGCCTGTCCGTTCCACACGGGCCCCGGGGTTTGAGATGCTTCTCACGCAGCTGCTGCCGACGCCCCAGGGGCCCCCACTCTCTGCACCACCATGCCCTGGGGCGGCGTCCGGCCACACGGGATCAGCTCCCTCCTACCTGTTCTAGCCGCTGGGAGCCCCTCAGCCTCAGCATCTGGGTCTGGGTTTGGGGGGGCCAAGCTGTGTGTGACACATGCCTGTGCATGTCTGAGTTGGGCAGTATGTATTTACTGAGCGCCGTCTGTATGCGTGCACAGGTTTGCACACCGGCAGCAGAGTGCCTGGGGGCCCAGGCAGGGTGGTCCCCGCACATGCACAGCCTGGGAACCCTGCACCGGCCTCTTCAACAGACCTGACGTGGGGCTTGGGGGAAAATTGGCCTCCAGCTCTTGACCCTGGAAGGGGCCGGGGGGCCGGAGCGGCAGGCTCGGGCAAGGAGGGACCATGCTGGACCCCACACTCCTCTGCCCGACAACTCCCCAAGCTCCACCTGACCTTTCTGTGCTGCTTGGGCAGAGGACATCGGCCCTTCCACCGTCTGGGCGCGTGTCTGCCTCTTGTCCTTGCCTGAGGCCCACAGCCAGAGGCGTCTTGTTCCCGGCTATCTGGCTTCCTGGACATGCTGCCCTGGGGGGACCTCCTGCCACAGCCCAGGAGGTGTCCGGGCCCCGTCATGTCGGGGCAAGGGGGAGGCGCCGGTGGAGGGCATGCAGCTTCTCCTGCAGCGCCGCGAAGGCAGGCCGCTCCTCCGGGCTGCCCCTCCAGCACTCCAGCATGAGCACGTAGACCTCGGCCGGGCAGGCGGCCGGACGCGGCAGGCGGTATCCTCGCATGATCTGCTGCAGCGTCTCGTGGTTGGTCATTCCTGGGGAGGGCGTGCGAGAGGGGCGGCTGCTGCTGCGGGGACCCCCCAGCCCCACCTCTGCGTCTTGCCCGCCCCCAGCTGGACCCTGCAGCCCCAGCGGCAGCTCCGAGGCCTGGGGACGCACCCTCGTAGGGACACTGGCCGTAGGTAAAGACCTCGTACAGCAGGACACCGAAGGACCAGACGTCCGACTTCTGGGAGAAGACGCGGTAAGTGGCCGCCTCGGGCGCCGTCCACTTGATGGGGATCTTGGAGCCGCTGCTCGGGGAGTAGACGTCGTCCTGGGGTGGGGAGGCCAGCAGTGGGGCAGGTGGAGCCGCGGCCTCCCCACTGCCCACTCCGGCCCGAGGGGGGCGCCCAGAGCCCCCGCCTACTTTGAGCAGCCGGGCCAGGCCGAAGTCGGCCACCTTGCAGGCAAGGCCATCGTCCACGAGCACGTTCCTGGCGGCCAGGTCCCGGTGCACAATGCGCTGCTGCTCCAGGTAGCTCATGCCCTCGGCCACCTGGCGGGCGAAGCTCAACAGCAGGGGCGGGCTCAGGGCCTGGCCCTCAGGGCCTGCAGGGGAGGGGGCTCAGGGCCTCACATGGCAGGGCGGGGGCCGTATGGGGGCATCTGCCACATTACGTCACCCCTCAGTGTCTCCTCATCTCTAAGCCGGGTGAGGACAGCTCCACCCGGGAAGCTGCGCTGGGCACTGGGCAAGACAGGAAGGGGGTCACTTGCCCCAGCGACCCCGCAGGGCAGCTGCTGCTCAGCACGCGGCCCAGGCCCCTGTCGGAAACCAGGGCAGAGATGGGCTGGGGCGGGGTGGGGCCTGGGTGCAGGCTGGGTCCACGGTCCCACTGGACAGCAGCTGGTGGCCAGACGGCTGCACCCTCCGCCTGGACTCCAGCCCCAGCCCCGGACCCACAGGGCTCCGACGGCCCCTCAGCAAAGCCCAGGCCTGGACCAGACCCCGGCTGCCCACCCCCAGCCGGGCCTCCTGCACTCCAATGGCTGCTTCACCTTTAAGGCCCTGGGGCTCGGCTGCAGGGTGGGGGGTACTCACTGCCCAGGAAGGCCTGCAGGTTCCCCTTGCGCATGAGCTCGGTGACGATGTACACGGGCTCCCCGGCGGAGCACACCGCGTGCAGCCGGATGAGCCGCTCGTGCCTCAGGCTCTTCAGCGTCTCGATCTCCTTGGCGAGGTCGGCCAGCTTCACGTCGGCTGCGGGAGAGGGCCCAGCTCCAGGACCGCCCAGGCCTCCGGCGTTGCTGCCCGGAGCTCGGGGGGCAGAGGGCGGTGGCCTCACCTGATCTGATGACCTTGACGGCCACGGGCATGGAGCCCTGCCACAGGCCTTCCCACACCTCCCCGAAGTAGCCTTTGCCCAGCTTCCTCCGGAGGGCGAACTCCGAGCGTGGCCTCTCCCACTCGTCCTGCTCCGGGGGCTTCTGCGGGGAGGGGCGCTCAGTGCCCTGCCCTCCCAGCGCCTCGGGCCCCCTGCCCCTGCCCACACTCGCCGGGTGCCCGCAGGGAAGCCCCACCCAGTGCAGCAGGAGCTAATTGCTTTGGAGACCTAAGTGGCACCTTGGCCCAAGCCAGACATCCGTCCACAAACATTCATTACTGCCCCGGCCAGGCTGCCATCGTGGGACCAGAGGAACCAGATTGCTGCCCTGGCCCCTCAGCGGGATGGCTTGTCTGGGACAATCCCAGCGGCTCCAGCCAGGTGCGGCATCGTGGGATTGGCGTCTCCTCCCACAGCTTCTACCTGGGGCCTGGGGCAGCTGTGGGTGCCGCTCCCCTGCAGAGCTGGGCACACCCTACACGTCTCCTCTCCGGACCCCAGTGCCCCAGGAATCTCCTGCATCTTCCTCCACCAGCCTCAGGGACCGAGATGAACCACCTGCGGGGAGCAGCCCTGACCCCGGGCAGGGCCCCCTGGGAGATTGTCCACCACCTGGAGGACTCTGGGACGGGTGGGCGGCGGGGCACGGGCACAGGGCCCACCTGGAGCACGCAGGGCTGCAGCAGTGGATGCTGGATCAGCTTCCAGTTGGCCTTGTAGTAGGCAAGCAGCGCCTCCAGGCTGGGGAAGAGCCGGCCCTTCTGCAGGTAGAGGCTGCCGTCGGCTGCCGTGGAGATGCGGTAGTGGCAGACTTTGGCCTGGGCCCGGACTAGGGAGGGTGCAGGGATGGAGACCACACTGGCTGCAGCGGCCTGACCTCCACCACGGCAGACGCCCGCCACACCCTGCCGGGGCCTGGCTCAGACGGGGCCTGGGGACTCGGGGACAGCAGAGCCACGTTGGGGACAGAGTGCACAGCCAATGGCCAGGGGGCAGCTGGGGGAGCTTTTCTGTCAACAAAGTGCATGCAGCAGGCACTTAACAGATACTTGTTGGATGAATGAGTGAAGGAAGGAAGAAATGAATGAGTGAATGAGTAAACAAATGAACAAATGAAATAAGTGAATGAACAAGTGAGTCACTATACGAATGAATGAATAAACAAACGAGTAGTAAATAAATGAAAGACTGTGAATAAATGAATGAGTGGATGAATGAATGAAAAGGCGAGTGGTGGTAAATGGATAAATGGATGAGTGAATGAATGAATAAATCAGTAAACAAATGAGTGAATGATTGAGTGGACAAGTGAATGAATGAGTGATGAAGGGGTGAATGAATGAGTGGGTGGGTGGAGGAGTGACGGAATGAGTGAGTAGATGAATAAGTGACTGAGTGGATGAATGAATGAATGAGTGGATGAGTGAGTGAGCAAATGAGTGGATGAATGAATGGATGAATGAATGAATGGATGAGTGAATGAGTGGATGAGTGAATGGATGAGTGGATGAGTGAGTGAACAAATGAGTGGATGAATGAATGAATGGATGAATGAATGAGTGGATGAGTGAACAAATGAGTGGATGAATGAGTGGATGAATGAATGAATGAGTGGATGAATGAATGAGTGGATGAGTGAGTGAACAAATGAGTGGATGAATGAATGAGTGGATGAGTGAGTGAACAAATGAGTGGATGAATGAATGAATGAATGAGTGAGTGAACGAATGAGTGGATGCATGAATGAGTGAGTGGGCAAGTGCGGGAGGTGACCCGCATGTCTCCTTCAGGCCTGGGTGGGGCTGGGTGTGCACCCCTGGGGGACAGCGGGGCCCCGCGTACCTGACAGCGAGTAGCCCCCCAGGCTGCTCTCGCTGGGCCGGACCAGGAAGGCCCCGGGCGCGTTGTCGGGGGAGAGGAGCATCTGCTGGGCCTGCGTCCGGCTGGTGTCGCCGAAGAACCAGCTGCGGACAGAGGGCGTGGGGTCAGCTTGCGCGCCCGGGAGCCCCGTGACCCCTGCCAGGCCACAGGCACCTCAGCTGGGGGACCCCAGTGCCCTGCGCCGTGCTGGCTCCTGGCCGGCCCCGGCTGCCCCCACCTCGCGGGGAGGAGGTGCGCCCAGGGCTGGGGCTGGGGTCTGTGCTGCCTCAGCCGCCAGAGAGGCCTAGGGGCTGGAGGGCGGGGCTGGGGCCAGCGGAGCTGACTCGGCCACCATCAGGTGAGCTGGGCTTTGCTCCCACAGGTGATGCTGTTCCTCACCCAGGCCACAGGCCAGTTAGCCCTGCTGCGAGTGACCCCGTTTCCTGCCTAGAAAAGTACTGCAAGCCCCAGTCCCGGCCACAGGCCCACCTGCCAGACCCGAGCCGTGGCCGAGCCCCCAAGCCCCCAAGCCCCCAAAGGGAGCCCGGCCCCGAGGAGCGGCTGCGGTGGCCACAGAGGACCACAGGCAGTACCTGGCTTGGCATGGCCCACCTGCCTTAGGCAAGTGGCCAGTGGGGGTGACCACAGTGAGGCTCAGTCTCAGAGCAGCTGGAAGGTTCCAGAGGCCTGAGCTTGGCTGGGGGAGGCCAGGGGCACCGGGGGTGGGGAGGTCGAAAGCACCTCGAGTCCCCTCCGAAGGGCCGTGCCCGGCACAGCCGGCCCAAGACCCCGGCCCTCTGTCCCCTCTGTCCGCACAGAGGCCGCCTCTAGGACGCTGGGCGCACAAGAGGCAGGAGCTCCAGGCACCAGGCCTCGGGCTCCGGGACACAAGGAGCCCACGCCCAAGCGTGGGCCGCGGCGGCTCCCAGCCCCACTCCTTCCTGGCTCCGGAGACATCCTTGGCAGGAGCTGCAAAGCTCCCGGCCCAGCACCGCGTGGGCCGCTTCCCAAGGCCCAGGCCGGGGCTCCACACCTGACTCAGCTTCCGCCTGGGGCCTCCCACTTCTAGGACCTTCCACGGACCCAGAGAGTGAGGCCTGCCCCCTCGTCCACGCGATGGGGGCACAGCAAGCCAGGGCGTGGGGACGGCTCTGCACCTCGCAGAAGCGGGACCAGGAGGGCAACCCGGGAGCCGATGCCGGACTCGGCGAATCCGCACAGGGGCAGGGGGACGGGTTGGCACGCTGTGCCGCCTGAGTGGGGGCCGGGGCGCTGGAACAGGGCCTGGCAGGAGGGGAGCCAGGGCCGCGGGCCAGCTGCGCTGTGGGAGAGGGGAGGCCACGGCACGTGAGAGGCCCAGGCCCAGGAGCAGGGGCTGTAGCAGCTGGACATGGGGCAGTGTCGAGGGCATGGCCAGGCCTGGACTGGGTCACCAAGGGACATGGTCTCTCGAGGCGAGACCTGTGGGGCAGCAGGCTCAGGGGACGCTCACAGACGTGGGCAGGAGGCGCCGCCCACGAGGTTGCCACGCTCTGTCCACTGAGCAGCCGGGGCCCTGCCTTCTGGGGCCTGCCGTGAGGAGATGACAGTTTCTCATGTGTGAAGGGGCTCCAGGGTCCCCTCCCAGCCCCGGAGGGCCTGGGGGGATATGGGCTGGGCCCCTGTGCACCCCCTGAGCTATAGGGGATGTGCCTTGGGGCCTCTCCCTGGGGCGTGGGCCACGCACCAGGCTAATGACACCGTGAGTGTGGTCGGCCCTTTCATCTCCCGCCAGGCGGTCATTAGCTCCCAGTCCTGCCTGGCCCGGCCTCCAGGAGCTACACACTGGGGTGACTGTGAGCCCCCCACCCCAGAACGGCTGCTCGGCCCTGCCCGCTGCTCAGAGCAAGCCGGGCAGGCGTGGGGCGAGGGCTGGAGCCCGGCTTCGCCCACCCCAGGCAACCCCCCAGGAGAATGTGTGGGCGCCCCGGGCCCCCAGGAGGCCAGAGGAGCCCTGGCAATGCCGCAGCAGCTCAACGTGGAACTGCAGAGGCAGGCCCAGGGGTCAGGCCTGGCCCCGCTGGGCATGGGACCGGGGCAGGTGCCCAGGGCAGCCCCACTGGGCAGCCAGACCTGGCTTTGCTGGACCAGCGCTTCCTGGGCACAATGCCTCCTGGCGGCTGCTGCTGGAGGAGGTGCCTCCGCCCGAGGGTCCCCGCTGGGCCAGGACCGGGCCTGTCTGGACAGTGAGGACCGCAGCAGCCAGGAATCTGGGCTGACCACCGCGCTGGGGGGAGGCAGGTGGGGTCACAGCCCAGGATCTGGGTCAGGTGTTTCCGCCCTGCGTTGTGTCCGCCACCACACACCTCTGCGGAGCCCCGGCAAGCTGCAGCCGTGGGCCCCACCTGTGCCACTCACCAAACAAGCCCGTGGGGAGCAGTCGCAGGCCGGGCCGCGCCTGCCCACACCTGGGCCCGGCGCGGGCGGTCGGGTGAGTGTGGACGCAGCAGGGGCAGGCGGGCACATCACCCCTCTCAGCACTCGCGGCAGCTGAGTCCCGTGCTCGCTTGCCCGCCCTGGGAGCTCCCAGAGCACGAGCCCTCTCCCACCCGGCGCTGCCCCCGCCCCTGCCCTGCAAGCAGGGCCCACGCAGTGAACGCCAGACGCCCCGTGTGAGGGCAGGAGGGCCCGGGTGACGCCCGCTGGGGGCCTGGCCCGAGCAGCTCCTCTGTCTCCAGACCTGTCCCCTCCCAGCAGTGCAGGCTGCACCTGGCTGCTCAGTCGTAGCCGCACCTGGGTGCCACGCCGCCACTGCCCGTGTGCAGAAGAACGAGAGGACCTGGACACGCGATGCCCGTCTCCCTGCCCGGGGGCGGCAGGCTCTGGGCTCTGAGGCCACGGTACTCACAGTTGGTCTGTGAGCGTCTCTGGGGTGGCCTTGGCGATGCAGGTGATGGGCACGAGCCCGGCACTGTGCCCGCCCGAGAGCCTGCGGGCAAAGATGTAGGGCCCCTCCTCCCTGAGGGCGTAGAGCCTCTCCCCGCAGCTGACGCTCAGCTCCTCCGCGCTCCGTGCCGTGAAGTCGTGCAGCACGCGATAGAGCCGTGCGCCCGGCGCCGGGGGGCCACAGGGCTCCACAGCGGCAGGGGGCTCTGGCCCTGCATCGGCAGCGGGATCCGGAGGCCCAGGGATGCTGCCGTCCGGCTCACCCACAGGCCAGACCTTGTCCCAGAAGAAGGACAGGAAGGTCAGCCGCTTCCTGAGGAAGGGCTCCATGCCCTGCAGGCGTCCAGCTGCCGACGGGGGCGCTCTGGCCGGCCTGGTCACCACGCCGGGCTGCAGGCCCTGCCTGGGCAGAGGCCGAGTGTGGCAGCCCTGGGAGCAGCTGGGACTCCGGGGAGAAACTGGAAGGGCCGGTGGGATGGCCGGGCGTGGTCAGCAAGCTCCCTGCGCGGCGTCCCTACCCACACGTGCAGGTGGGGTGACAGGTGACACCACCCCCGCAGTCACTCCAGAGGCTCCCGCCTGCTTCCGGCAGGTGTGCAGACAGGAGTGGGGTGGGGCTGGCAGGACTGACAACCTCTTCCTCCCTCCGCCCAGGCCAGGCCACAGGGGTGGCCCTGCCCTGCCAGGCCAGGCGTGTGGCAACACGAGGACAGTGGGGAACGCGAGGGCACCACCAGCCTGGCAGCCACCCCCGGAGAAGTGGGGCGGGGGGGTAGTGGCCGCTGCTCAGCACCAGCGCAGCTGCCAAGCACCTCGCTGGGGTTGTGTGAAAAACTGCCTGGTTACTTCCGTGTTGGCCAAATCTTCTGTTAACGGCATCCTGAGACCCCGTGTGAGGCAGAGGCCCCAAGGCAGGAGCCGGCGCTCAGAGCAAGGCAGGGGAGGGGCTTCCGGTGCCCCAGTTTCGCACCGTGAAATGAGGCGTTGGGCTGCGGGAGGCTCAGGGTGGGCCAGGCACACAGAGCCAAGGCAGAGGCACGGATGATGGTGTCACGTGGCTTCTGCACCACCCGATGGCCAGGAGACACCCAGAGGCCACTGCGGCCAGGACATCTGGTCCCCCGCTCGGGGCTATAAATGAACTGGGAAGCCAGCCTGCCGGGAAGTTCGGTTCAGTGTGAGCGGCACGGACGCACTGGTCCTCACGGGCCCTGTCGGAGGGAGCTGCCCTCCTGGCTGGCACAGCGGGACGGCCGGCCGAGTGGCCGACCTCGCCAGGCTCTGCACAAGGGAGACCCCTGCCGGGCGGGGCTCAGACAGCTGCACTCAGGTGCTGACCGGGCTGCCTGGCAGGGCATGAAGCTTATGCCTGTTAGCTGCGAAGTCACCCGCCCCGGGAGAAAGAGTTCTCAAAGTTTAGCAAATACACAAGTCAAAGTTTATTTTCCCAAGAAAGAAGAAAAAGATACAGATACATACATATAGAGAGAGGGGCCAGGCCAGAGAGGACTGCCCCGTGCAGGAAGCTTGGTAGGGAGCACTCCACAGACTGCCACCTCACCCCACACCCCACCCTGCACTGTACCCCACTCTGACCCTGAACCCCACCCTGACCCTGAACCCACCCGACCGTGCACCCCACCCCACCTGCACCCCACGCAGCCTGGACGGGGCCCTCCTCAGTCCTGGTTGTGGCCCCATCAAACCCTCAGCCCCCACTGGGCCTCTGCCCCAGCATGGCTCCGCCCCTCCACCCAGCCAACCCCCAAATCAGCGCTCTTCATCCGGCCCATCCCCATCTTCCTCCTCCAGGCACCTCTGCCCCTTGCTCTGTGCCAGAGCTGGTTTCACCACCTCCTCCTGGGTGGTTCTCGGCACCCCGAAAGTCGTGCACACCCCCCTTCCCCACCACCTCCACCTGGGGCAACACAGGGCAAGGCCCCTGGACAGCCCCTCCCCTGCTCTGCCCGACACCCCCGTGAGCTCACCTCCTAACCCAGCGGGGGCAGAGGTGAGTGAGGGCAGGGCTGTGGGCGCAGGACTGCTCTGGACGGGGTCAGAAGACGGAGCTAGAATCCGGCTCTCAGACTGACCGGCCTTGTGCCTTTCGGGACGGGGCTGAACCTCTCTGGGCCTCGGTCCTTGCCCGTGGGAGCACTGAGCAGAGTGAGTGAGGACACGGACCAGGGCCAAGGGGCTTTCCTGGGGCCTTCCTGGTTCCGGGGAGGTGGGGCTGGCAGCGAGGGTCTGCTGGGTCCGCCTCCGCTTCCCTGCCCCTGCCTGGGTCCGGTGTCTGGAGGTCACGGCCCCCTCGCCCAGGGCGACCTCACTGACACCCTGTCTGCGGGGAAGCTCTGTCCACGTGGAGCCGGGCCTTGCGTACCTGCTTGCAGCCGCCAGGCGTGGGCGGTGAGCGCCAGGGTCTGCTGCCCAGCGGTCCTCAGTCCAGCTGGCGGCACTAACGGGACAGGAGGGCCTCAGCACGCTCTGGGGGCTCCCTGGAGCTGTGGAGGCCGCCGTCTCTCCAGACCCGCTGGGGCCCAGGTCGGGGCCTCCACACCCCTCCACACCCGCCCACCAGGTCTCGGCCTCTTCCTCCCCCGAATGAATTCCTCCGAGGGGTTCCCGAGGGCGGGCTCCGGTTGTCGAGCAGGAGCCCTACCCCGGCACCCAGCCGGAAAGCCCCGGCGGGGAGCGCTGTGCCCGCAGGACGGTCGCCGGTCTCGGCTCCCCGCTTTCGCGGAACCCACTTCCAGCCTGGCCCGCGGACCGGCGGCCCACGGTGGCCCCAAGTGGGGCGCGGGTCTCGCCGCCGACGGTTCCCCAGTGCTGCGAGCGGCGGGCGGGGCGGGGCCGGGGACCCGGGAGTCCGCGGCGGGTCCGGGGGCAAAGCGCGCGCGTGCGCCCCGCCGCTCCGGCGCACGAGACCGCGGCTTCCGCGGCCCCTCGGGGCGGAGGCGCGACAGGGGGCGGGGTCTCCTCTCACCCTGACACCGTGGGCTCCCCGCCACCACCCCGCCGTCACAGTGGCCCGCGGTCGCCATGGAAACCCCCTGGCCTTCGAGGCGCTCGCCTGGTGGCACCGGGCAGTGGCCTCGGCTCCGCTCCGGGAGACAGGGCAAGTGGGGGCCGGCGGGGCGCCTGGGACTGGGAGAGGAGGGCTAGGGGCTCCGGGCGAGGGGAGCGTGGTGGAGAGGGGGTCTCAGGGCCACAGCCGGGGCTCAGAGCCACCTTCCCCTGGGTCACGAGCAGCCCCTCTGCAGTTTTCCAAGCCGGCGGCTGGCGGCCACTGGACAGTCCCAGAGCAGCAGCAGAGGCCGGGCTGCCCTGGTGAAGCCCGCCCAGCCTCCAGCCGGAGCAGGACTTGGCCGGGGGTCCTGGGGCCTGGTCTCAGCTTGCTCCTCCCCGCAGACGCCCTCCGCTGGCCCCGCCCCAAGAAGGTCAAGGGTCAGCTTTTTGGCAGTGGCAGTTCTCACTTGCAATTTATCCAGCCAACCACCTTTGCTGTGACAACCTGGACTCTCCAGGGGATGCCATGGCCCAGCACTGGGGGCCGCCTCGCCTGGAGAGTAGCTGGGAGCAGGGACAGTGGCCGGGGATGCTGGCCTGTTCTCCAGGGAGCCTGGGGCCCCGGCTGCACCCGGCCCCTCACACCAACGCCCAGAGCTCAGAGGTCCAGGGAGGGGTCAGGCTCTGGGGCCCCAGCTGGCCTCGAACCCCAAAGCAAGAGCAAGCGCCGCACTCTCAGCCCCAGGCCCCCGTCTGTGAGGTGGGGTGACAGAATCTCCCCCCTTGTGAGCCAGTGAGCACGTCGCCAGACCCCAGGCACGCCGCGGGCTCGGTGCGCAGGTGCTGGTGCGCCCACTGCTCCCGGGGCTGCCCTCTGCGCAGCCACATGGTGAGCTGTGGAGGGGACCCTGGGAGAACCCAGGAAGGACAGTCCACCAGTGTCCCCAAGGGGGTCCCTGCCCCTTGGGGTCACACTGAGTCCTCTCCACAGCCCCGAGGGGCACCAGCGCCCCATTTCAGATGAGGAACTGAGGCCCTGGCCAGGCCACATGCTGGTCAGTGGCTGGGGCTTCTGCCCCGACTATTCTGGCCCCAGGGACCACTGTCCTAGCCCCACCCTGTCTCCTCACTGCAGATGGCCACTGGCCCCTGGAAGAGGCTCCTTGGCCCTCAACACGCTCTTTTGTCCAAACCACAGCCTGCCCTCAGCCGGCCCGCAGCCTCCTTCCCGGAGACATGCCCCGGAGGGAAGAACGGAAGGCCCAGTGTGGGGCAGGGGGCCTGACGCTTCCCAGACCCACCAAAACCCTGTCCCGAACGTGCCCCTGGGAGGGTAGCAGAGGCCAGCCCGGTTGTGGTGGCTCATGCCTGCCCCTCCACCCCCAGCTCCCAGACAATGAGCTTCCAGGCGACAGGCTTGGGACTGGATGAGATGAAGCTGGGCAGTCGCCAGCTCTTCCTGGACCAGGAGGAGGCCGAGGAGGCCGAGGACCAGCAGCTGCTGGAGCCGGAGGCTTGGAGGACCTATATGGGCCGGCGCACGGCGCTGCAGGAGTTCCTGACCACGGACCTGAGCCCCCACCTGCTCAAGCGCCACCATGCCCGCGTGCAGCTGCTCAGGAAGTGCTCCTACTACATCGAGGTGCTCCCCAAGCACCTGGCCCTGGGCGACCAGAACCCGCTGGTGCTGCCCAACACCATGTTCCAGCTCATCGACCCCTGGAAGTTCCAGCGCATGAAGAAGGTGGGCACGGCGCAGACCAAGATCCAGCTCCTGCTGCTTGGGGACCTGCTGGAGCAACTGGACCATGGCCGCGCCGAGCTGGACGCCCTGCTCGAGTCGCCAGACCCGCGGCCCTTCCTGGGGGGCTGGGGGCGCGTGGAGCAGCGGCTGGCAGACCTGTTGGCCATCATGGACAACTTCCTGGCCATGATGGTGCCGGGACGCCTGCACGTCAAGCACCGCCTGGTGTCCGATGTTGGCACCACCAAGATCCCACACATCCGGCTCATGCTGAGCACGAAGATGCCCGTCATGTTCGACCGGAAGGAGTCAGTGGCCCACCAGGACTGGGTCAGTCTGAGCTGGTTCGTCACCGTCCCGCCACCAGCGCCGGAGCCGTTCGAGCTGCGCTTCAAGCTGCTGGACCCGCGGACGCAGCAGGAGTGCGCGCAGCGCGGCATCATCCCGGTGGCCGCCTGCACCTTCGACATCCGAAACCTGCTGCCCAGCCGCTCCTACAAGTTCACCATCAAGAGGGCAGAGAGCTACACGCTGGTGTATGAGCCCTGGCGGGACAGCCTCACCCTGCAGACCAAGCCAGGGCCCCCTGAAGGGCCCGCCCCCTGTTGGCTGGGCAAGCCCGGCCTGCCCCTGACTGCACCTTCTGAGAGATGATTTTCTAGTATTTATCCACTAATAAAGAGGAGCAACCTACTTAACGTTTGACAGGCAGCAACGGCCGGCCGTGTGTTCTTCCCGGCTCCACCCCTTAGCGCCTGCCGCCCTCCGGGGGCAGCCCAGGCCAGACCCTCCAGGACAGCTGACCCTGGAGCACGGAGCGCCAGCTCCAGTGGTGAGAGCTGCACCGCGGGGGCTCAGCCCCGTCCCCCCACGTCAGCCCAACTCTGGCTTTCTTGACCCACTTCCCGGGCAGGGGCTTCCTGGGGGCTGGCTCTCCTAGGTCCTGTCTGGGACAATCGCAGCCCTGGCGCTGGCACCCCCAGCTTCTTGGAGCCAGAGTGCCCAAGGCCAAGGCCTCGGCAAGAGACTATTTTATTTTTAAAATAAAGGATAAAAGTCTTACCTTCTCCCCAAGAAAAGCTGAAGTTCATGGACACCCCATCTTGAGGTGGTCCTACTGGCCAGTGCTGAGGCTGCTTTTCGGGGGGCCATCCCTCCAGCCCCTGACCCCCAGCCCCACCATTGCCTGGGGAGCCTCCAACCTGGTCATGTGACCCCCAGCGGAGCCAACAGCTGGCTGCCCCAGGCGCTGTCCGGCCTGGTGGTGTGGACGCACGGCCCTGCCCACCCCGCCGCACGGCCACGCCCAGGTCGGGAGGGCAGCACCTTGCACCCAGCACACAGACGCCACTTCCGTCCCGCACTACGCACACCAAGGCAGTCACTAGGACCTGCTCTGGGACAAGTGGGTATGGTGGGCGCAGGGCAGGCAGGGACAGGGAGCCCCTGTGATGGTGGGGTGGTTGGTGAGAAAGGCCTGGCTCCCCCCAGCTTGTGGTGTGTGTCCCATGGCCGTGGGCTCCCCGCCCTCCTGGGGTCAAGCTGGCACTCTGGCACGTGGCTATGGGAGTCATTCCTGGATGTCCCGCAGGACAGGGCCGCCCCCGGGGTCTGGGGCAGAGTCCTTGTGCTCCTCAGAAACGGCACCGACCCCACGGAGAGGGGCAGCCTGAGTGGGGGCTGCCGCCACCCCATGCTCTGACCACTGCCCCCCACTACCCTCCCATTGCTGGTCCAGACCCTGCTAACGTCCCTTCCTCCCGGAACCCCCCCCCACCCCTCGCCTAGAGGCCCTTTGTGATTTCCAGAACAGCCCTCCACGCTCTGCAGAGAAGTGCTCTTCAAGGCAGTAGGTGTCCTCCCTCCCTCCACAAGTGCCCGGGACACAGAGGCCTGTGGGGACCCCTCTTCCCCACGGTGACACTGCAGCCCCTCCGTGGCTGGGCCTGTGCAGGGTCACAGGCCGGGCCCCCTCCCCCCCATCTCCAGCAGCAGCCAGGCCCGGGAGCCACTAGGGACCCAGCCACCAACCAGCCAAATGCTGACAGAATCCCAGTCCCAAGTCGGCCTGGAGGGTGTGTGGTACCTGGGGACAGAGCGCACTGGGCTGGCCCCCAGCACCCGGAACTGCCCCCCAGCTCCTGGCAGCTCCCCACTCAGCCTCCACAGCCAGAGCCACCAGCCACAAAACAGGGGCCGTCCCCCATGTGCTCCGGAGTCCAGGACCCACGGCCACTCCCCAGGCAGGACGGGCCCCTCCCCTGCCAGATCTCAAAACTCCCAGAAGTGGGAAGAGCTTTCAGGATGGTCTTTATGATGAAATCAATATGCAGCAATCACATAGTCCCGGGGCTGAGATACGAAAGTTGGAATGTAGGAACGGGGTTTGTGGAAAACACCAGGACAGTCTCCCCATGCGCTGCAGTGAGGTCACGGGCAGAGGCCCCCAGGCGTAGGCAGCACAGGCCGCACGAGCCCAGAACCGCCCTGGGCGAGAGCAGGGAGCGACCTGGTGCAGAGGTGGGGCTGGGCTCCAGGCGGGAGTCTGCGGGGCAGCAGGAGTCCTCGAGAGAGCTGGAAACAGACACACCCGAGCGGCTGCCAGCCCCCTCCCCCGCCCACAGCGCACTGTGCAGCCGCAGGGCCCCGCGCAGCTCGTGTGGGCATCTGGTTCTGGTCTGCCCTCTGCCCGGTGAGCGGCCCCCGAGGGACACAGGGCCAGGTCCCAGCGCCAGACAGGCCTCCCTGCCCCAGTCGGGACCAGGTCCCTGTGCCAGTGAATCACTGGCTTCAGTTTATTTCAAAATAGAAAATCAAGCCCAACTCCACGGGTGGCGTCCAAAGACCAAAGTGCAGTTTCCTTCCCGGCGCCGGAACGTCCCAGCGACAGCAGAACCTCTTCACGCCGTCCCGACGACCTCTCAGCCCCTGAGGGGCTTCCCTGTGCCCGAGTGTCCCCGGAATAGCAGCACAGCAGGGAGGGGACGGACCCTCTAAGCCCTTCTCCTTCCTCCCAAGGTCATGCCCTACAGGCAGGTCATGCCCTACAGGCAGGTCATGCCCAGTCTGTTTCCTGCCCCGGCACAGGCCACGATTGTGCCGTGGCCCTTGTAGCAAAGCACGGGCCGGCAGGCCCCGGACAGGGCAGGTAGGCCGAGGCAGTGGCCACCAGGGCACGTGGCAATCTGCCGAGTGGACCCCAGGCCAGCAGCGGAGTCGCTGGGCCTTGCCCCCTGCATCCCAACACCCCAAGGCAATGGGCTCCTCAGGAAGACAGCGCCGGCCTCCTCCGGACCCGCACCTGTTTGGCGGGCACCAGGCTCTGCTGGGCCTCGCAGAAGTCCAGGAGGTGCCGCCAGAGCGGGCAGCAGCGCAGGAGGAGATGGTCACCTGTGGGGAGGTCAGAGGAGGCTGCTGTGCCCACCCCCAGCCCTCCAGCCCCTGGCCCATCCCCACCCGGGGGGAGCCAGCCCCAGCCTCACCGATCAGGCAGAGCCCCTCCTGGGCCCGGGTGACGGCCACGTTCACTTGGTTGGGGTCCACGACAAATCCCAGGAACTTCTTGAGCCAGGCCTTGGTGGGCTGCTGGTCCAGGTCGCTCCTGGCGCAGGTGCGGACGGTGCTCACCAGCACGTAGCGCCATTCGCTCCCTGCGGGGAGGGGAGGTGAGGCCCTGCCGCGGCTGCCCCCGGCCCACGTGCATCTGCCCCACGCCAGCCTCACCCTGGCTCTTGGTGATGGAGGACACCGTCACGCCGCTCACGCCCTCCCGCAGGAGGCCCTTGCGGATCTCTGAGGCCTGCGCGTTGTAGGGCGTGAGGACGGCAACGTCCCTGGGCTCTACCATCCTCCCCAGGGTCAGTTGCTTGGCGATGGAGACCTGGGGGATGAAGACAACCCTGGTGCCTCTGCTGCCCTGGTCACGGGAGCCTCACTTGTTCCCTCAGCTCCTCTGCCCCCTCCTCCAGGAAGCCCTCCCTGGCCCCCCTCCTCCAGGAAGCCCCCTCCCTGGTCCCTCCCCTCTGCCCTCTCCTCTAGGAAGCCCCCTCCCCACCCACAGGGCTCCAGGGAGGGTCTCGCTGACACTCACCACCACTGCCACCTCCTCCAGGTTGGCCTTGGAGTTCTCGTTCCCTTCATCTGTGGACACCAGCAGGCTCTGCTCGTGGCCCTGCACGTGGCCAAAGATGACAGGGCAGCTCTCCTTGCCGGCGTGGCCCAGGACACTGGGTGGCCGCCTCAGGCCCTGCCAGGTCTTCAGCTTCCCCTGGTAGAACTCCGCGGAGGGGAAGGCACAGATGCCGGGGTGCTGTGGGCCAAGGATGTGCGGGTGAGGGGCCCCGTTGGCAGGCCAGGCGTGGCCCTGCGTGGGCAGGGACTCACCATGCGGTATTGCGTGTCCAGCATGTAGGCGTCCCTGTGGTAGCGCTCGAAGAGGGACCGGTCCAGCGCCAAGTTCTGTAGCCGCTCGTTCCTGACCACGGGCCGCAGCTGCTTGTGGTCCCCAAGCAGAACCACCTGGGGGACAGCAGCCATCACCAGTCGGCTCTGCACGGCGGCACCTGGGCGGGGAGCTGCCCCCGGGATGCCAGGTGCCGACCCTCACCTTCTCTGCCTGCGGGAAGTGCACCAGGGGGATGAGGGTCTCGGGCTCGGTGGCCATGCCCGCCTCGTCCACCAGGATCTGCCGGACGTCCAGGCTCCTGAGGCTGGCGGCGGCCGCACAGGAGCACGTGCAGAGAATGACCACATGCTGGTCCAGCTCGAACCTGCGAGCCCTCCCCAAGACCCTCCTGTACCTGTGGCGGGAACACTGCCTGCGTCAGCCGGATGCCCCACGCCGGCAGGCAGCTCCCGCCCCGGCCCGGGCCACTCACGCGACGAGGTCCTCCCTGGAGAAGACCTCCCCTTTCTGCAGCCGGGCGTCAAAGGCCCTGATGGCGGGCGCGTCCGGGTTGGAGGCCTGTCGGATCCGGTGGTGCAGGGTGATGCTCCTGCGGGTAGAGGGTCGGTGAGCCCCGCCCACGGCAGGGCTGGGACCGCCGGGGGGCCGTCCCGCCAGGCGAGAGCGCCAGCGCGAGCGCAGGCAGCCGCACCTGAGGGCTGGGTTCGGCCGCCCCTCCCAAGGGGCCTTCTTGGGCAGGGCCCTGCTGCCCACGCCGGGCACCGGGAACTCGCTGGCCTCCGCCTGCTCGCTGTACACGCGGAGGGGCCTCAGCTCCGCCCTGCTCAGGAGCATCCCTGCGGGAGTCGGGGCTGAGTGCCTGCCGGCCTGCGCGGCGCCCCCCGCCCCGCGGCGCCCCCCCGCCCCACGGCGCCCCCCGCACACCTGCCAGCACGTCCACTGACTTGTTGGAGGGGCCGCAGTACAGGATGCAGGGGCCCCTGGGCTGCCTCTCCCCGCCGGGGGCGCCGTCGGGCTGCCCCTGCTCCTGGTTGGACTTGTGGAACCAGTAGATGACGTGGAGGCCCACGACCGTCTTCCCTGTACCTGTGGCCCGAGAACGGTGAGCAGAGCCCCACCCTCCGCCCCAGGGCCCCGCCCTCACCGCCTCCCCC